GGCTTCTCTGCCACATTGGGAAATGTTGGAGGTGGCCTTCCTCCTGACAGCCCGTTCACACTGGGTGTGAGGGGGAGCTTCCTCCGCACCTCAGATGCTGCGTTCTCCTCGGAAAGCACACTCTAACACTGTTGGTTTTCCCAGGTGATTAGAAGTGAGATTCCGGAGATGTGTAAACAAATTAAAATACTTCAAATTTGAATCTACTAAATAATGTAACCACTCTAAATCCTACCTTCCTAAGCATCCTACCTTCCTAAGCAACATGGCATGCTATATAACGTGGTAGAAAGATAAGTAATTGAATTCAAAGAAAAAATACTATTTTTGGAAGACAAGAAGCCTCTGTCCACGCCCTTCAATCTGGCTTTGTTCAGTCTCAAGTTAGGCAGGTATATTATATATATCTATATCTGTCTATCTATTTATAGGTATATTATATATACTTATATATGTTATAAATTATATATATTATATATATTTATATATTATATATGTGTGTGTGTGTATATGTGCATTTTGTTTTCTCTAAGTTAGTAATGAGGTTGTTTTCTGATGCTTTCACATAAATGTAGGTTATGAGGAAAAGTCACGGGGTCATTATCACACCATCTGTTCCAGCTGGTCTGATTTAGTCACATGGTTCCCAGGGTTCTTAGTGAGCTGTCAACAAACTGCAATTACTCATGACAACCTCACAGGCTGTCAGAGGTTACTATACTGAGACTCTGAGATCACGAATCGGGATATCACAAGATCGATTGCTGCTGATTTACAAACCCTTTCCAGAACACCTTCTTTGGATGACTGAATTTTAAAGATGCAATAATGACATCTTTGGATCTGGAAGCTGAAGAGAAATAAGACTGATTTATTTGTTGAGCATGTACCAAGAAGAGCCATCTTTTGTATAAGCTTGGTGTATAACTATATAATTGGATTTGGTGGTTTTCCTTAGTGATATTTCAATGGAGAAAATGTTATAAGGTAGCTCTTCACAAAAAATAAGCAGAGAAACTGGTCTTTGTCCTTTGCCTTGTCTGTTAGTTGTTAACTCTGTACTGCTGAGCTCAAATGCCTATCTGTAATAGAAATCAGAGCTCTCCTATGGAAAAGAGAGTTCGCTGACGTTTAATATTAGTTCTCTTTAGCTTTATCTGTGATACCTAAACCACTCCAGCTTTGCTGAGATAAACCATATATGCTTTTTAAATTTTATATAACTTTATATTATTAAGGCATTTTAGACTTGAAAAATACCAGTATTTCAATAGACTGGTATGACCAATGAAAAGAATTAAGTATGGTTAATAATCTAAGAGATGTAGATTAAGATAGTATGAGAACTGGGACCAGCAGATGCCATAATGGCTATGTCTCTGGACTCCCATGGAGCCAACCGTGATTTGAGTCCCGGACCTGGTAGCTTAAACTCACACTGGGTGTGTGTGCGTGCGTGCCCAAGATCCCGAGAAGAGAATGGAGGAGAAAGGATTGCGGTGTGGCCATCCCCCCTAGGGGGTGATTTCTTGCTTTCTGTCTCTCTGTCTCTCTCTGTCTTTCTGGCAAATGCATGCGTCCTATAGCGAAAACATCTCCAAGAAAAAAAAAAAGATGGCGTGAGAAGTTTGCATGTGCTGCACTGAAGATTTCTGGGCTCACTTATTTTTATTGGCTCTTAGTGAGATTTAAAGCAAATACTTCAAGCTTACTGACTTTTGGCAAACAAAATATTTCTGGAAAATGTGTATCTAATTATCAATGTGTGGAAGTTTATTTACCAAGGATTTATGAGATTTTTGGTAACCTACTGAAAGCTAATTAATTGTTAGTTTGCTCTATGTTTGTTGAGTATTTGTAGCCATGGGGAGTGTGTGTGTAGAAACAGAAAAGAGGAAATGAGGGAAGCAGAAAAGGAAAGAGAGGTCGGAGAAAGAGAAACGCTTGAATGAGTGTTTTAGGAGATTGCTGGCCTCATCTCTCTCAGTCATGATGTGACAGGGCTGGTTTCCGGCCTTTCCCTCCGTTCTCCCGGTTGATTCCAGAAACAGCGTACGTACCCAGAGCCCTGTGGAAATGCCCTTTCACCTAAGCTGGCCCTTTTCGCTTCATGCTTGGGCTCTGTCCTGGATTTGATATACTCCATCCAGCTGTCTTGTAGACAAATATTTGCCTCTGAGAGAAGGATCAGGGTACACATCAAGATGGCGAAAAGAGGACGGGCTGCAGAAGGCTCTTGGGTTCTCCCTGCTTTGGAGCAGTGGTCGTAGAAATAGGAATTGCATGTGACGTTGTTGAGAAACTCGTAGCATGATCTTTCCTCCAGGTCTGAACACAGGGTAGCCTTCATTTACTGAGCGCTTAGTAGATGCCAGGCTATCTGCTAGGCTCAGCTAGGTGTAATGCTGAAAAAAAATTTCTGAATTCAAGTAATTTGGAGGATGAGACACATATGTAATCTAGTGGAGAAGACCAACATTTTTCAGATAATTATGTTAATGGCATGTAATTACAAACAGATGCTCTGGAATGAAAGAAAACTCATCTATGAAAATAAAGAACTAAAACACATATCTTAGGTCTGGTAGGAATTTTTGAGGAAGGTTGTTGAGTTCCTTTGCCAATAAATGGGGAAAAGAGGTTCATTTCAAGTGGAAGAAATTCCTGACAAAAGCCTCACAGCAGAAACGAGTTCGTGAACTAAATGGGGTACAGGGTGAGAGGCCGGCTGAGCCCAGACTCGTGGGAGCTCAGCTGTTTCGTTTTCTGTCTCGAGCGTATATGAGAACACGCTGACGTTGCGGCGGGCACGGCCTCTCAGGCTCTGATTGGAGAAGGGGGTTGGATTCGTGGGTGTGCAGGCACACACGTGGTGGGGTCCGGGGCCGGCTGCAGCTGGGGGTGGGCTGCAAGATCATGGTCCTGTTGGGGGTGCTGTGCCTCCTCTAACTGACCCGCCTCTCCTGTTGAAGAAATAGCAATGGAGAACTTTGACAACTGCCTGTGTATTAGCGTGGAAGGCTTGCAAGATGAGCCTGGGCTCAGGTGGGAACTGTGCTCACGGCGCCGTCGAGAGTAGTGGCGGATTTGAAGAAGAGTGGACATTCTGGGGATATTCAGAAGCAGCAGATCTAACAGTCTAGACTCAGTGAGTTTAGCCAGCAGGTGACATGGTCTAGGTTTTGGATTCCCACATGGCCTACTCCGTTCACAGTCCACTACCTGGTGGCTGACTTCGCTTTTTCTTGTTTTTCTGGTGAGTGCATGTGCCCTACAGCAAATTAAATATAAATTAAATTAATTTTATAAAGTAAAATCAAACAACCTGAAGGATAAAGGAGAGGAAGACATGGTCGCTGAGCCTGGCTTGGGAAAAGTGGGTGGATGAATATCAGGGAGGAGAGCCTCGGCGGGGCATGGGTACCGGGATGGCTGCTCATGGCTGGGGGGGGGGGGGGGGGGG